GGCGGCGGGGGGGCGGGCAGGGGAGACGACCTCGTTCTTGGGTACGTTTGGGTCCCAGAGCCTCTGGCCTCCCCTCCTGAGCCATGGGGCCAGGCTGTCTTCTGCACTTGATCTCCAGCCAGGAGTCTGTGCACACAGCTGACTGTTTTCTCCATCAACAAGATGGCGATGACCTGCTTCTCCAGAAACGCTGTCCACTGGGAGTGGGATGTTAAGGCACAACTGAAGGGCCTGTGCGCTGGCTTCACGCTCAGAGGGGAGCCGTCCTTCCCCACATCCTTGTGCCCACTGAGGCCGTGCACGTCCGTTAGTGACTAATGGCGGAGGAAGGCGTGCGGGCCTCCCCTGGCCGCACACGCACACTCCATTTACCTGGCTGGCCGCTCCTAACTGGAGAACAGCCTTTTATTTTACACTTGCATGACTTTCAATGCCAACTTCCGCTGCAAGCTGCCAGTGGCCACTGACAAAATCGTCTCACTCAATTATGATGCCAAAGACTGACCTTAACCTGAACCGCATGTCGCATGAGGCTGCACAACTGAAATATTTATCCAAGGAAGCTTTTCGGTCATAAAGAAACGGGTAGACTTAACACAGAGGTGAATCTTAGAAGCACCCCGACTCACTGACTTTAAAACTTATAGCAAATCTTGGGGTTCCTTCCCGGGAACAGTCAGCAGAGACCTCAAGCAACACTTCCCAAGAGAAGGCGGGTGTGCCCTCCATCCAGCCCTCCAGCAATTCTCTAAGCTGGCAGTCACCAACTGTTTTTGATCACATGGCTATCAGGAAAAGAGACACGTGTATTTCCAGCACATACTACCCATATTCTGATAAAATGTATATATGATGTATATGATTAAATCCAGATACTATGAATAAAGGTTGATTTCTTTCTTTTTCTTAGTAAAAATAGAAATAAAAGTCCCAATGTTTTCTTCCCATCCTCCCACGGACTGTCTCGTGTAGCCCAGGATTCCAGAAGCAAATGCTGGTTGGTGCCTGGCTGTCCCGGCCTCAGCCCGGGGAGGAGCACTAGGGGACACCATCTCAGCAGGCGCTGCTCCGAGGTGTGCACCTTCCCTGCGAGATCACCCCCAGGACACGGCGGATCCGCAGTTCCCTGCAGGGTGGACGTTTCCTTCCAGCTCGGATTTGCAATCAGAAGACCTTCAGCTGGAGTCACAGCGTCTGCCGCCTGGATCACCATCCCCTCCCGTGAGGCTCCTGCTCATGCCCCCTCAGCGCCGCCCTCCACGCAGCCCCTGAGCCGTCTCTCTACAACACGCATCACAGTATGTCCCTCTGCCGCTTCAAATTCTTAGTGGCTTCCCAGGCCTCCGGACAAATCCCAGCCCCTCCACGTGGCTCTCCTGGCCCTACACCATCCCGGGCTCTGAGCCATCCTGAAATTCCTGCAGTGCCTCGGGTGCAAGTACTCTTGCTTGTCAGGCTTCAAACATGCGGTTCCTTCTGCCTGGAACATTCCTCCTGTCTCTTAATCCAACCTTTTCCTCTGGTTCATTCCTACTTTGTTTTCAGGTCTCTGCTGAGACATTACTTCTAGAAGTCTCCCTGGACTCTGCCCTCCCTTCCCACACAGCGGGTCTGGTGGCCCTTCTCTGTGCTCTATGATGCCCTGGACCTGCCATGTTTGACGTTGGCCTCACTGTTGTACGTGACCCCTTGACGATTCTGTCTCCCTGCCTTGGTGCCGAGCTCTGCGAGGACAGGAGCATATGCCTGCCTCCTTCACTGTCTGGTGTACAGGAAGCATTCAGAAAGGTTTGCTGAATGACGGAATGAGCTGCAAAGAACGCCCTGCCACCTCCTTTCCCAAGCCGTCAGGACGTATTACTGTGGGGAGGACACGGGCTGAGGCCCACATCTCCCTTCCACTCCCGAGGCCCGGGGATTCTTAGACAACAAGGCTTCTTGTGGTGCCAGGGGCGGGCGGGGGGTGGGGTGGGTGAGGAGCAGGACGTGAAGGCTCCTCCAGGGGGGCCACCTACCTTCACTGTCCCTTCCACTTCCACAAACCAGCGCCTTAACATGGCCTGGATCTGGCCGTCGGTCAGCTCGGGGTTGGCGTTGTGGATTTTCTTCTTGACCAGATCCTCCAGCAAGAGACGCCTCAGCCTCCAGTAGAAGAAGGTACGGGATGTCTTCCAATCCAGGATGTCCTACACCCAGACAACAATGAGCTTAGTTGCCCCAGCTCGGTGCCCAGAGGGGACTCCACAGGCACAAACCCTACCCTCCAGTGAGCCCCTCAGAGACTAGAGTGGCTACGAGCCCAGCCCCTGTAGACAGCTGCCCAGTTCAGAGCGCAGCCCCACGCCCCGCCGACGGCAGCACTGCACAGGGAGGGGCCTGGCCATCGCTCGGCCCACACGGAGCTGAGATGTTCGGGGATGCAGGGCTCAGACTCGCGGGTAACAGAGCGCGGGGCTGCTTTTGAGCAGGCGGTTCACACAGCTCGCACGCAGGCCAAGTGTGAACTAGCTGCTGCCGGGACCTTGACACTGGGGTAACCCACTGCCTGAGGACTCCCGGGCAGCTGTCCCCAGTGGAGTGCCTGGGAGCCAGGTTCTTGCCAGCAAAATGGAGCCTGCCTCCTGAGGAGTCCCCTGGAACCTAACTCATAAGCTGTTTTAGGATGGTAGTGGGCACAGAAAAAGTCTCGCCAGAAGAACTGAACACGGTTTGATCTGCACCCGCTGTTTTAATGCAGCCCCGAGAGCTCCCTGCGTGGGAGCCCGTGGGCACGAGACAGACACGGGCTGGCGGCGGGTCTCTGACAAGTCAGGAGAAGCGGCGACCACCATACTTACGTTGATAACACCCTTCTCCTGCATCCGGCCCGGTGTGTCGTGCAAGTCAGCAAACTGCACGGCCACCTGGCGGTAAATGGGAAGGAGAAAGTCCTCCCGCTCCTTCAGCTTGCTCTCCAGCTCCTTCCGCTCAGCCGCGCTTAGCTCGGGGGTGCCTGCAAGGAGACACACCGTCAGGCGCGGGCAGACCAGAAGCCTCTGCTCAGAAGCAGCCACAGTCACGGGAAGCTCTGAGGCTCAGCTCTCCAACGTCTTCATCGCCTCTCTACTGACAACCGGACTCTGCCAGATGCCAGACCTGTCCCTGTCTTGCCACAGGGCTCCCGTGCCCTCCCTTCCCTGTGGGGCTGACAACCATGAAAGCAGCCCTGGGGGGGGGCCCACTCCCCGAGCAGGTGCCAGCCCATGCCCCTCACCACCGCTCTGACAGCGGGCCCCTCATCCCCACGAAGGGCACCGTGGCATGCCCTGCTGACCAGCACTAGAGTGGCCGGGCTGCTCTGGGTGCGGGACACGCTGGGGGGCTCGCCCGGTGCCTCCGCGCACAGACCAGCAGCCCTTCTTCCCCACGTCCACACCAGTCACCTGTCTGCCTGGACGGGACCTGATGACTCCTCAGGTTGCAAAAGCTGCTTTACTTCACAGCTTTAATCTCAGGTCTGCATACTTGTAACCTGAAGTTAGTAGAATCCGATCCAATTAGAGCCAGAGGCATGTGTCTCAGGCCAGGCTCGGTGGATTAGCCAGCCTCCTAGTCTCCCGCCTGGGCTGCTACTGCCAGAGCCAACCCCTGGCCACAGTGACAGAGACATTCTAGTTCTTGGGCTAAAAGCAGAGGAGGAGGGAAAAAGAGAAAGGCAGTCCACAAACCCCATTTGGATCCCCAAGCTTATGAGCACATGGCACCCTTACGCAACAGATGAGTTTGGACTCCTTATAACAAGCAGCCTCCCACCCCTACTCAATAGTGTCCCAGGAGAGGCGCTGCTACGTTGTGCTTTTCTTCCTAATTACTCTCAGAATGGAACTTGCAATCAATACCGAGAATGTATCTGCCTGCCCAGTAAGGAGGACTAAGTCTAACTGAAAGAGCAATAGGTGACAGCCCCCGGGGTTGGGGACAACTTGAAGTGCTTTGTCACCAAAGCTGACAAATAAATACGTGACCACGGTGATGGGATGCAAAAGAGAAAGGTCTATTTCAAGCATGTCTGTCTGGAACGGGCCTTGCTTTTTATGCCACTATGAATCACATGCCATAAACAGCCTTGGGCTGCTGAGTGAGCCGTATTATACCCAAACACATGTATAACTCTAGTACCTAGCTTCAGTCTTATGAGGTTTTTGGATGCCCAAGTCCACCTTTTTTTTTTTTTTTTTTTTTTTTTTTAAAAAAAAAAAACAAAACCATCACTGCTTTGAAATTGTGATGAAGGGTACAAAGGGCTATATCTTTCCTTGGGCTCTCACACAGAGGCAACCACTGACCCATCACATTGGGGCCCTGACCCCCCAGCAGCCTTCTTTCCAAACCAGGTAAACAGCAGTGGGCACCACACTGTGGGATGAGGTGGAGGCCCGTTCACTCTAGGCGGACCTGCCTGGAGCGTTCCGGGGAAGAGAGCTGACCAGCTGCTTCTGAGATGAGCTGGTCTCGAGTATAACACCCCTGACAGGGAAGCAAACGTTTTCCCTTCTCCAGTAAAAGGAACCAAGACTCCTTGGAGAGATGGTTTATTCCGCGGCTGGGGCAGGAGAAATACAAGATGAGCCTGGAGTGTATCGTCACAAAAAGCGGGGAAGCACTGAAATACTGACTGGGACATGTTAAAAGGACACAGGAACCAGTGTGAAGGTGTTCTGACCGGCTAAATCTGGGATAATTTGAACATCAGATAGAATATTTATGGAATTAAATAAGAACCCCTGAGTCACCCTGACATAAATAATTAAATGGGGGAGAAGGGAAGGGAAAGCCCTCTCTCTCCCCAGACTAACAATTAATAGAGAAGGAATGATGGAATTAGAAAATCACCATTTTACAGCCATCACAGTCATTGATTCTGCCAAGAATTATCAACACATACTAAAACCAGTGGGTGCGCCTTTGAGGAGGAACAGGATATTTACATAGTTTCAAAGCAGCTCCTTACAAATTACTTACTAATTACAAAGGGGAAGATGGCAACTTTACAGTGGATTAACCCAGTGAACAAAACCTTAGAACAAGTAATCAGAGCTAACCAGCAAGGAGAACAGGACAGGTTGACATCACGTGACTCCTAATACGACATCCTGAGAAGGACATCACTTTTGCAGTATTCCTGCCAAAAATGCATAATCTGAATCTAACCATGGAAAATATAAGAGATTCAGGGCTTCCCTGGTGGCGCAGTGGTTGAGAGTCCGCCTGCCGATGCAGGGCACACGGG